AAGTGTCGAATTTTAACATGAATGACAGTTCAGAGGATTCCCTTTCAAGTGCAGATGTAAAAGGTCTTTGTAGCAGAATGACTTAGCCACCTGCATTCTGCTACAAAGACCTTTTAAATCTGCACTTGAAAGGGAATCCTCTGAACTGTCATTCATGTTAAAATTCGACACTCTCCGGGAAGGAATGAACAAACACTCAAACTATCTTACCGATTACCAAGATAGCTTCCCCAATTATCACCTCTAATACCATTAGCTCACAGATATTCCACTCTCCCCACCTCTAATATCATCAATTCACAGACACTTACCTTCCTTCCTTCCCCACCCCACCCGCATCCCCCTCCTGTTCTGAAATGTGATTTGTCCTTTTCATATGTGTTCATTTTTTTTAATTGTATCCTTTGGCATATATGGTTGTGACTATTTTCTTCCACTATTTGATCTGAGGAAGTGGGTCTGGCCCACGAAAGCTCATCATCTAATAAACCATCTTGTTAGTCTTTAAAGTGCTACATTGTCCTGCATTTTGCTTCAGCTACCCCAGACTAACACGGCTACATTTCTATCACTATTCCACAGTAGTTTTAGTTACCCTCATACCTCTCAGCTTCCTTCCTTATGCTATTGTGTTTGTCAGCTCTGAGGAAATCATTATTGTGAAGTAGAATTCACAGATTTCTTTCTATTTATCTGTATGTATGCAAAGATCATTGCGGTGGTGGTAGCAGGGTGTTAACAGGTTGCCTTGTTTGTTTTTAAAGACTCTTGCAGGCTTTCAGGTGTTGGGCACCCAGAGGATGCCACATTTTACTTATGTTCTTTCTTCTTGTCTTTGCTGTAGGGCAGGGTCATCAGAGGAGCATCACTGATTACTTCAAAGTCACTCAGACACAAAGCACCGGTAACAACACCGCAATAAGCAATGAAGTCAAAGAAGAGTCATTGGATTCCTTCTTCATGGACGATTTTTTGGAGGATCACTGTGCCCCGCTTGAATGCGAGGGGGACACTAACCCAGCTCCCTGGGATCCTGCGGCCTCTAGAAAACGACCTCACTTCTCAGAAGCAGCTGCCAGCTATTCTACGGGATCCAGTAAACGTGCTGGGACTGATAAAAAGCCTGCGACGGACAGTACCCGCAAGTATTCTCCAGGGCATCCAGAAATCAAACAAGACCCTGATGTCATAGAAATTGATTTCCTAGAAATTGATCCAATTCCTGATGCATGGTTTGGGCTTCTAGGAACGTCCTGCGGTAAAGAACCCCAGGGACACATTGATCAGCTGCCCAGTGAAGTCCTAAGCATTATCTTTGCTTTCCTCCCTGTGACTGATCTCTGTCTGAACCTGAGCTTGGTGTGCCATCGCTGGAGAGAGATTGTCAGTGATCCAAAGGTGAGAGTGTTGTACAGTTTAACCCAGGAACGTTCTCTCTCTCCTGGTTAACTCAGTGACCTCTCTCTTTCCTCCTTTTGAATCCAGAGGCACCGACTTTTAAAAGTGCCAGATGGGAGCTTGACCCCTGGCTGTGTCCCAACCCCCCCCCAACTCCACTCCTTCCCCCAGTGCCCCAGCCTCACTCTGCCTCTTTCTACCTCCGCTCCACCCCTGCTCTGTCTCTTCCACCCAGTTCTGCCCCCTCGCCTAAGCACGCCGTGTCCTTGCTCCTCTCCCCAGAGCCTCCCAAATGCTGCAGAACAGCTGATTGCAGTGGGATGGGGGAGGAGGAGGAGGTGCCCATCAGTGGGCAGGACAGCTGATGAGGGGGGAAGGGGAACTTGGCACCCACCAGTTTTTCCCCATGGATGCTCCAGCCCTTGAGTCTGCATCTGTGTTTGAATTTGCTTCTTCCACTTACCTGTCCTATTAGTAATCGCCAGACCCTCCCTTATGTCATTCTTGTGTGGAGCCTTGTCTATGGGGTGCGGAGGGTCTGCTAGATGACGCTGGACATCCTCAATTCCCTTCCCCCCACCTCCACGCCATCAGTGACTCCAGTTTTCAGTGGCCACCAATTATATTTTTGAACCATTACCTTCATGTGTTCTCTGGTGTGAGTGTGACGGGTTGGGTCCCGGTGTTCCCTTTGATGCTGTAATATATACTGAGTCCACCTGCCTGCCCTCTGAAGCATCCCGCTACCCTGTCCTGTTAAACCAGAAGCTCTGGTCTCCCTTGCAAAGCACTGAATTGGGATAATAGCTCCGAGCACAGTAACACAGACACTGAGAACAGCTCAGTTTTGGGAAGGCTGCTACAGGGCCTTGACAGCACCCAGGTGCACAGCCTGGATGGGGTCAGCCCCCAGATAAATCCATCTGATTCTGTGTAAGAGAAAGCTCATAAAGTTCACTCCCTTTATTAATGAAAGAGCTGCACAGCTGTTGTCCCTCCCCCAGGTACCAGTTATGTGCTCTTGTCCCCTCCCCCAGGTACCAGTTATGTGCTCTGGGTTAGATAATAAACAAAGGTGATTTTATGAGGTATAAAAAGTAGTTGCAAGTGATGACAGATCGATCCAAGTGACAAGTATCAGAGGGGTAGCCATGTTAGTCTGAATCTGCAAAAACGACGAGGTGTCCTGTGGCACCTTCTAGACTAAGGGTATGTCTACATTGCATTCCTCTTTCGAGAGAGGAATACAAATGCAGACGAACGAAATTGCAAATGAAGTGCGGATTTGAATTTCCCGCACTTCATTTGCATAATCGCGTCCGGTTGCTTTTTCGAAATACCCTATTTCAAAAAAAGAAACGCTGTCTAGATGCGGTTATTTTGAAAGAAAACCCTTCTTTCGAAATTACCCTTACTCCTTATAAAATGAGATTTAAGGGTAATTTCGAAAGAAGGGGTTTCTTTCGAAATAACTGCATCTAGACAGCGTTTCTTTTCGACCTGGAGCTATCAGCTTCTCCCCCGCCTTGTTAGAGTTCTTTTGTTCTTGCTACATCGACCTGTCACCACTTGTCTGACCTTAAGGTGTTTGCCTTTGGAGGCAGGGGGCCGTCTTCTAGTTCTTTGTTTGCACAGCAACACTCCCGCTGGTGCCCGGTTCCATGTGTAGCGTGCCCGTGCACAATACAAATACTCCATAGCCATGAACTTTTGGAGGCGGTACGAAGTGCCTAGCCCTTAGGCATTGTCGACGAAAAATGTCCTCGAGGGTCACTATAGTGGGAGGGCTTGTGTGGACAGGCTCCACGGAGCTGGCAGGATGTCTGAAGCACTGTGCTTTTCTAATCGTAGTCAAAGTTACGGTTGCCAGATGGTTGAAACAAAAATACCAACCCCCTTCTCCCCTCCCCCCCCCAAAAAAAAACACCGGGAAAAAATTCTGTTGAAGGGGAGAAAAAGGAGGGGGGTGGGGAGACCAAAGTTGTTGG